AATAAACCATTACTTTGTCAAATATTTTTGTTTTGAAAGTTATTTTGAGGAATTATGTTTATTTTGTTTTTATAACTGAAAAATAAAAAGGTTAAAAACTTAAGATCTGTTTTTTTTTTCTCTTGAATATACTTGTAAAGTTTAAAACAAAAACTATTTAAAATCAGTCATCCCTGCCTAAATTAAAGTAATAAAACACAATTTGAATTTATCAAAGGAAGAGTCACTAAAAATTAAAATTTTCAAGTCTTCAAAGTCTATCCATTAAGAATGGGTGAAGATGGACTGATCCAAATTTTACTATTTTTATGTGTGTGTGCATTTTCTGAGTTCACTGTAAAAAAAGTGTAAAAACTACCCAAAAAACAACATTTTAAAGGGTAATAACAAATCAACATGGAAAAAACATTTTGGATGCAAAGATGGGGACTCATAAAATACTTTTTGTTCAATTATTGAAAAAAAATAATAAATCAAAAAAAGTTGAACAAGACGCATCTCATGGTTAAAACTTTAACCATCCAAAACAAAATACAGGCAAAAATCATAAATCAACAGTTTTAGGGATAAAGCCGAAGTGAAAATCTGCACTGTAGTTTAATAAAAGTTTCAATTCTATTTGAAACTCATGGTCACGGCATCCTGCAAGCTAAAGGTGAAAGAGAGCAACAGTATTTATGAAGATTTATAGACATCTTTTCTCATTTCAGCCACGCACATATGCATATTCAAGAAAAATGTCTAGTAAAGAGGTCAAGGTGTTAAATAAGATTTTCTAGAGTACAGGTCAGATTAGTTACACGTTGTGCTAAACAACAACTCTTAATGTTGCTGGTATAAAAATTCAAACAGGTTTTTTATCCTCCATTTTTGACGTCTACTGGGTGGATTAGTGGTTATCACCGTTGCCTCACAGTAAGAAGGTCCTGGATTCAATCCCTGATTTGGACCTGGACCTTCTGTGTGGAGTTTGCAAATGTCATTAACCTGGTTTTACCCCAAAATAAGTGAAAAACTGCGACGTAGGAAGAGTAGTACAAGTAGTTTATTTTAGTATATATATATATATATATATATATATATAT